ATCACGGATACACTCACATTGAATGTTTTACAGATGATGATTGGACTGGATCGAAGATTGATAAGAGGTCTACTACGAGTTATTGTATTTTTATTTGTGCGAATCTCGTATCACGGAAAAGTAAAAAATAAACAGTTGTATCTTACTCAAGGGTAGAGTCTGAATATAGAGATATGACTCAGTACACATGTGAAATTTAATGGATATATCATCTTTTAGAATAAGTAGGTTTGAATCCCACATCTCCTGCAAAATTTTGGTGCGAAAATTAGATTGCCCTTCATATTGACTCAAATCCTGTGTATCATGAAAGAACCAAACATATCAAGATTGATTGTCACTTCATTCGAGAAAAAACTCAAGAAAACTTTATATCTACTGGTTATGTGAAAACAGGAGAACAATTTGGTGATATATTCATAAAGTCTTTTTATGAAACACAGATTGAGTATTTTCGGAACAAACAGGGCATAATTAATATTTATACTTCAGCTTGAAGAGGAGTGTTAAAATATTATAAAATATTTTTTGTACATAATATTATGATTATCTTCACAACTATAAACTTAATTGAAAAGAAAATTATTAGGGTAATTTATATTGATTACCGTATATGAATCCATTTATATAAATATATATCCCTACTTTGTTTCACTAAAACATAAGAAAATATTCAGTATTCCTTTTCCTAATTCTTACACATCAATGCAGACTGAAAACATGCAAAGATTGTTTAAGAAAGAAGGGAAAGGTAATAGAAGGTAATGCAATTGGTCAATTTATGAGGTGCATACCTTGATGTGCAATATCTGAGACCAAGACCTCTCTTCAAACTTCATACTGAAAAACTGATCCACTTGATTTTGCCATAACCTACATTTGTAGTTTTGTTTTAATAAAAACATTTATAGTTGAATTAAGGGGAAAGAAAAACTCAGCTGCAATGGGCCATCATTATGACATTAACATAACTATAATTTGGATTTGCATACTTGCAGCTGTGTAAAATTGATTTAGTGATATCAAGATTTATTGTATCATTGTGTATGTTAATGGACTTGATTTGATAAAAATTTACATCAAAATATAAAGAATATTTCATATAAAAATAGTTAGAACATTTTTCAAAATCAAAATTGTTAGATAATGATATCATATAACTTTTACCATAGAAAAAAATCTTTTTACTCAATATTCTTAAAAAGAAAAGGAGGTAGCTGTGTTTCCACAATCAGAAGACTCACTTATGTTCCTGGATAGCATTCTGAAGTTGACAAATAACCACTTGGAAAGAGATCTCAATATTCTGAAAAGTAAACACCAAAAATAAGTTTTAAAAGTACAAGTATGATGACAAACTAAGATTCCCTTCAACCTGTAAATAAAAGCCACAGACCTTTAAAAAATATGTAACTGCAGTTCGGAGTGCACACATATAATGTATACCTTAGATTCAGCAAGAACTTCTTCAGCCTCACTCAACGTGGATATTCTAAAACTACATGGAGGACAAACTAACCCTAATGCTCGTTTAAGCCATTTGACCCCCTTGACTAATGAACTCCACAGCAGAGGACACCCAAATGTGGTAGAAGATAGATGCTCAGCAGTTTCCATCAAAGTCTCAACATCCTATAGGGTACAACAAATAGAACATTATCCATTCAAAATGGGGAAAGAAAATAAAAAAACTACTATAGAAAATAGAAAAGAGGATACATAATATATCAGTACATATGTGTTATATAACATCACATAATTGGAAAATAAAAAGTAGCAGGCAAGTGAAACCTCAATATCACAGTAACATTTCTTAATCAGACATTGTCATTTGTCTCTTCTTGGTAGATTAACTCAGAAACTACAACCCTTCTTGGAAAAAAAAATTACTAAATAAAAGCTGCCAACAGAAACCAACCAAACACTAGCTTTTTTTGATAGGTTCAACCAATACAGAGTTTTGGTACCTGGACTTTGATTGGGTTATTGATGTGGAAAGGAGAAAAATCAGATTGGGGCCAGAATTTTTGAAGGATTTTCATCTCTATAACTTGTCCTGAAGAACTACTTAGGGAGAACTCTTCAATCTCTTAACTGTGGGAAAGCTACACTTTCAGGATAGTTCCATGCTTTAACTTTCCATTCTAGTACAGCAATAAAAAGTTCTATTACAGCCAAATATAACAACCCCACTACTCCAGTAACCACCAACGAGACTGCAATAAACTAACCACTACACAGTAATAACCTGCTAAAAATGCTAAGACTAGAACCAGAAATAGAATATGGATAAACCAAAAAAAACTTGATGGAAAAAGACTGAAGAAAAAATCAGCAACCTTTCCTGACATGGACCGGGGAGTTGGACCAAACATCACTCCCTCTCTCAATAAGGTGCTTTTTCTAAATAAAAAATATGGTAACTGAAGTTGACCAAAAGAAAAAGCCTGCATGTCGCAGATCATCCGAAATCTTGAGGCTTCCTTGTATTATGTGTAGATAGTGTGAAAGTTGTAGTGAATCTTTAGGGTTTAGGAATCATCCAAAATACCTTGTTCACATGAGAGCAACAAGAAATTCTTCAACCAGCTATTTGGAAAAGTCTTCTCATTTCTAACCAGAATAACAGACTCCAGAATAATTTTAAAAGGTTATACTGGAGTCAAATACAATCCTTCGAATGTGCCAAATTTTGGGTAAATATAGTTAGTAAATGATAGAGTTAGAAATCCCAATTAACATCAATACAGCCTGTTTTGAATTGTAAAAAGCAGAGAAAGAAAATGGTCACAGTGTCAACTCAAAAAGATTGAAACTAAAAAATTGAGAAAACTAAAATATTTCCGTACTATTGAAGTATCCCACTTAAAAACCAAGAATCTTCATTTCTCAACAGAAATAGACCAATGACCTCTGAAAGATATAGGTAAGCTGCAATGCAAACCTGTTACCACAACAAATGATCCGAACCAGAAGCTGAGGCTAGTAAAGAAAGACAACCATCAACAATGAGATGTACTAGAAGGCTAGGAGGGAGGCTTATCTATCTATATCACACTAGAATGAACATTGCGTATTCAGTAGATGTGAACAATCAGTTTATGCACAATCCTAAAAAAGTACACTTACAGACAACTTATTGAGTGTTAAACTATTTGAAGGGAACACCACCAAAAAGTATCATTTTCATTAAAGAAATACCAGATAACTACTGGAATTCTATACTGATACAGACTACACTAGATCAACAGTGGGTAGAAGAGAAGCAAGAAACAGAATATGGTGACCTGATCTAGTATAAAATCAAAATTACTACCGATAACTTAAGGAGTCTGCGAGCTATTATGATTGAAAAGGATTTTGGAAGATCTAAGGATTAAGTAGGATGGCCCAATGAAACTATATTGCAACAACAAGTCAACAATTAACATTACTTGCAATCTAGTACAAGATGACCAGACGTAGCATATTAAGATTCTTGACAGGCACTTCATCAAGGAAAAGCTAGGTAGTGACTTGATTTGCACACCCTACATGCCTACCAAGTTGTTACTTGCAGATGTGCTAAACAAAAGTCTAGGCAACCCAGCTTTTCAAACAATTAATGCCATGTTGGGAATGGAAAATGCATATTTATCAGCTTGAGGGAGTGTCAAAAATCTGTATATATGTAATTTAATATGTAAGGATATAAAAGTAAAATATCTATAAATAATTAATTTTAGGTTTCCTTTTCTATACTAAGAAGTTTTTATATATAAAACCCTTTCCCTCAGTAACAAACAAAACATTCTATTCAGCCATAGTTGTTGTTTCAACTCCTGTAATTTATGACAGAGGAAGACATGATATGGAGAACAACAATCGTAGCAAAAATTTGGTATGGGTAATAAAAGATGGCTTATCAGAGAGAGTTCAAGACCACATGAGAAATACTTGTGGAAAAAGATCAGCCAAGGGAAAGAAAATTTTCAGGAGTTACATAAGGTGGAAGACTAGTAGGGGTATAGAGTTCGATTGTGGAAGGATTAGTGGATAAAGGGAGCACCCTAAGAGTGCATTTTTCTCAAATTTATGCAATAGCACAACAAAAAGACATCAAGATCTGCAATTCTATAGTGGTGAAAAGGCATTGCAAGTTTTTGTGTCGAGGTATCTCAATGATTGGGAGAGAGGCGAATATAAGCAATTATTGGGTATTGTTAAAATATCACAAAATATATTATGAAATATTTTTATATAATTATTAATTGATTTTCTAGTATTAATATAATTATTTATGTTTCCATATGTAAATCTCTCTTTTATGTATATATACCCCTAACTCTATGTAATGAAAGTATGTAAATATTCAAAATTCATTTCCTTAAATCTTACATAGTATCAGAGTAAGGGTTAGGGTTAGGATTTTAGGAGTTAAATTACATCATATTAAAAGAAGGGTTGAACAACCCATTCCCGATGCCGGAGGAAGACAACTATTTATCTCCAGTCAATTCAAAATGCGGCCAGCACGATGGTGTACCCGGGAGAAGCCGAGGAAGCAGTTCACACAGCAGTTTGAGGCTGCGTGCAGCGGGATTGCAAGAGGAGAGCATCCCCAAGCATCTTGGGTTCCCATTCGAGGAAAGAAGGCACAAAGGAGCTCGGTCAGCCGGCTCTGTACATGAAACCAGAAGGCCAAAGAAGGAAAAGCGGTGGCGGAGGAGATCGCGCGACAACAAGCGATTCTCCGCTTTCCAGCACAATTTAGGGCATTTTGGTGAGCGTCATTCCGAATCGGGGTGCGCATTAGGATTTTGTGGTGATTTCTGGTCGAAAGAAGTAATTTTGGTGTTTTCCGGCTGCGACACGTGAACTCCAGTGGCGGCGCGTGCAGCAGCGCGAGCTCCTATGGTGGCAATGTAGTTCTCTTTGATTTTTGTATGTGAGAAGGTGTTCTGTTTTCTCAAAATTTTTGGCTTATTTGCAACGTTTTTGAGGTATCTCTGACTGTTATGTTTTGAGTATTCTGAGTGGCATATTTCTTATAATTCCTGAATTGAAATGGATATTATCTACTACTACTATCTTGAACAATGGCATATTAAACGGTATTGTAAGAAATTATAGAATCGCAGGATACAGACCGCTAGTATTGTTGCTGCTATTGCTAGTTCATATTCTGAAAGAACTGTTATGATTTCAACTTACTAGAATGCTAAATTTACTCAATATCAGGAATTTTTAAATAAATTTTCTGCCTTCACTAAATTAGAAAAAAAATGTTTTATCTCTTCGAACACATGGGTGATTGATTCTGGCACTATAGATCACATGACAGGTAATCTAAATATATTTTGTAGTTTTCGACAACACAAACCACATTTTTTTGTGACTATTGCTGATGGGTCGACTTATAACCTTGTGGGGTCCGGGACTACAATACCAACTTCATCTATTATCCTGTAATCTGTATTAAGTCGAACTAAACTTACTTTTAATCTAATTTATGAGTAAATTGACTGAACATTTGAATTATTGTATTACATTCTTTCTTGATCACTGTGTTTTTCAATATCTTATGACGAAATAGATTATTGTTAAAGGGAATATATCAAATAGTTTCTATATTCTTGATATCTGGGTGCGTTATCGGTTGTCTGCTCCAGTGTTACATCTACATTTGAAACACATTGTCAATTATGACATCCTTCTCTACTTGTATTGAAGAAGTTATGTTCTCAATTCCATGATTTTCTTTCGCTGGATTGCGAGTTATGTCAGTTTGCAAAACATCATTGTAATCCATCAGGTTCAAGAGTCAATAGACGAGCTGATTCTGCTTTTAAGTTGGTTCATTTTGATGTTTAGGGCCCCTGTCCTGTTGCGTTTGAAACAGGTTTGAAGTATTTTATTATCTTTATGAATGATTTTTCTTGAATAACTTAGATATATTTTATGAAAAATCGCTATGAAGTATTTTTTTACTTTTGTGTTTTTATGTTGAATTCAAGACAATTCAATATTTCTGTGCATATATTGAGAAGTGATAGTATCAAGAAATATATGTCAAACTCATTTCATAACTATATGACTCAACACGAGATCTTTCACCAATCCCTTTGTGTTGATACATCATCTTAAAATAGAGTCGCTGAAAGAAAGAATAGACATTTACTTGAGAGAGCTCGAACCTTCTTGTTTCAAATACAAGTCCCTAAACAATTATGGGTAAATGTTGTTTCCGCAGCATGTTTCTTGATTAATCGTATGTCAGCTACAGTACTTGATGGATAAGCTCATTACAATCTTCTTTTTTCAAACAAGTCTTTGTTTCCGGTGCAATCTAAAATATTTGGTAACACCAGTTATGTCCGAGATGTGTGACCTAGTGTGACAAAATTGGATCCAAATGACCTCAAATGTGTATTTTTTGGATATTCTCGCATTCAGAAAGAATACCGGTGTTACTCTCCTAATCTCAATAAATATTTGGTATTAATTTATATAGTTTTTTTAGAAAATATGTCGTTCTTCTCCACATTACTCAAATCTACAAGTCAGGGGGGCAGACGATGAGTAGCTCATTTATAATTTCACATCAGATACCTCTATTGAGCAAACAGATAATGATATTTCTCTAGATGATGTGCCTCTAGATGATGTGCCTCCAACCTCACTTGAACAAATTAATGATAGTGTTAGTGTGCCCTTGAGCCAAGTTCCACCACTGATTGTTCATATTTATTTTAGAAGACAACAAACTCATGATACATGCCCTGCACCAATCGTCATCTAATTCTATCTCACAATACCTTAATCTCCCATTAATTTTCGTAAAGGTAAACGTCAGTACACCATTTCTCAGCCAATTTATCTCATTGCTAAATATGTTTCGTATGACCATCCGTCTCCCTCGCGTACTTCTTTTATTGCTTTTATAGACTCAATTTCCATACCCAAAACAATTAAAAAAACTGGAATCACTATGGTTGACATAATGCAATGTTTGAGGAGATAAATGCTCTCGATGAAAATCATACTTTGGATTTAATAGATTTACCCAAAGAAAAAAGGATTGTGGGGTGCAAATGAGTCTTTTCAGTCAAAGTAAATTCAGATGGTTCAGTAGCAAGAATTAAACCCCGACTTGTAGCTAAAGGCTATACTCAGATTTATTGGGTTGATTATTCTGATACCTTCTCTCCAGTGGCAAAACTTACATTTGTCTGTTTAGTTATCTCCATCGCAGCATCTCACAATTGGCCCTTACAATAGTTAGATATCAAGAATGCATTCCTTCATAGCAACCTTTTATAAGAAGTGTATATGAAGCAACCACCTGAATTTGTTGCTCAGAGAGAGTATGGAAAAGTATGTCATTTGAAAAAATCTTTGTATGGACTGAAGCAGAGTCTCCGTGCATGGTTTGGCAAATTTAGTAAGTAGTTCTGGAATTCGAGCTGAAGAAGAGCAAGTGTGATCGCTCGGTTTTCTATAGACAGTCAACAGCTAGTCTTATATACCTTATTGTCTATATTAATGATATTGTTATTACAAGTGATGACTATACAGAAATATTCTCTCTCAATCATTCTTACATTTCAAGTTTTACACCAAAGACTTAGGTCAATTGAGATATTTATTGGGAGTAGAAGTAATAAGAAACAAGAAAGAGATTTTCTTATCTCAGAGGAAATATGTGCTTGATCTACTTGCAGAAAATGAAAAGTTGGGAGCTAAACCGTGTAACACTCCAATTGTACTAAATATACACCTTACTAAAGATGATGGTGACCCCCTTAATGATCCGAAAAGATATAGATGATTAGTTGAAAAACTGAATTATCTCACAGCGACTCGTCTAAATATTGCATATCCTGTCAGTATTGTCAGTCATTTTATGTCTGCACCTACAGTCAAACATTGGGAGGTTTTGGAACAGATTTTTTGTTACCTAAAAGGTGCTCTAAAACTTAGTATACTGTTTAGTAATCATGAGTACACTCAACTGAATGCTTTGCAGAAACTGATAGGGTTGGATCTAAAATTGATAGAAGATCCATTACAGATTATTATGTTCTCGTTAGTGGGAACCTATTATCATGGAGGATTAAGAACCAGACCGTTGTGTCCTGATCCAGTGCAGAGTCCGAATACAGAAATATAGCCCAGTCCACATGTGAAATTTTATGGATACAACACTTCTTACTAGAAATGGGTTTGAATCTCATATTACCTGCAAAACTCTAGTGTGATAATTAAGCTGCTCTTCATATTGCCTCAAATCTGGTGTACCATGAAAGAATTAAACACATTGAGATTAATTGTCACTGCATTCGTGAGAAAATTCAGGAGAACTTGATTTCTATCGGTTATGTAAAAATAGAGGACGAATTAGGTAATATATTCACAAAGACTTTGAATGGAACCCGAATTGAATATAATCGTAACAAGCTGAGCATGATCAATATTTATGCCTCAACTTGAGGGAGAGTGTTAGAATATCACAAAATATATTACGGAATATTCTTATCTAATTATTAGTTGATTTCCTAACATTAATAGGGTGATTTATGTTTCCATACATAAATCTCTCTTCCATATATATATACCCCTAACTCTATGTAATGAAAGTATGTAAATATTCATAATTTCTTTTCCTAAATCTTACAGGTATCATATCTTGTATTTCGTTGGATGAAAACATTAACACTCCTCGGTGATGTCTCACATCCAAAGTCAGTTTTAATATCTCTTGATTTTAAAACATGTTTCGTATAAGATTCTGTACCACATCAGAAAGTTAAAGTCCTAATACTATTAAAAATTAAAATAGATTTGACCGAGACCTCTATCCAATCTATAACAAAAAACCAAAATAGACTTTGACTAATATAATTTAAAATAAACTATCACTTCAAAACTTGAAGAAATAAATATCCCATAGAAAACCTAACTTAAAGGAATATTCTTAAACAATAACGTTATACACATTAAGGCAATCCATAAGTATACACATGAAGAGATAGATATTCATATAGGTACCTACATAAATGATATACAAATATATATAGAAATAAATTTTGATAGCCATATTTATATCTATACATATGTATAAATATATACAAATATGAGTAATTTATTTATAAAATTAACCTCATAACTTACGGACATTTTTGTACCCTCTTATTGTATTAAAATATGAAAATACCCTCAAAGTTAACATATACATCCATATATGTTAAAAATTATAGTAAAATATTAAAAAAATAAAAAATAAAAAACTTAAAGATATATGTGCTGAGGTGCTCATTCTATGAGCTGACAAAAGTAATTTAAAAATGTCTTTTAGGAAATCCAACTTTAAGATGAAAACAATATAGTGCTCGGTAAAACTTGTTGTAAAATTGCTTTCAATATAAAATATGGTATTATATTTAATTAGTTATGTTATGAAACTAATTTAGTTATTTAAATAATATTATTTTTTTCTAAAAATTGTTCTAATAATTCAAATAATTTAAATCATTATTATGTTATTTTAAAATAAATATTATTTTAATAATTTATCATAAATATAAAATTATTAATATTGAACTTAAACTTTTTTATTAATTAATGAATTACAAAGTTAATAAATACATTCACTGAAACATGTACTCTTACAGCACAAGTCGTTTCCCAAAAACATCTACTTTCAACTTTTAATTTCATCTCTATTAAAAGCCAAAAACAACTTCTACTTTCACCTAAAAGCATTCTTGTTTTTTAATGTTTAGCCAGACATTTTTTTTATAATAGAAATAAAAACAGAAACAGAAGCTGAGTCTAACAAGCACTTATGCTCATTTCTTCTTATTTTCCTATTACTTAAAATACTTCCTCTCTCCAACCAACCTTCTCTCTTCTTTCTCAACTCATAATCCCACTCTTAACATGCCCTCTCTCTTCTTGTGACTCTCTCTCTACAAAAAAAAATGTATCTTTTAATATATTTCTAGCAACTACTAAAAGAGATAGACTAATAGTACAGGTTTCTCTTCAGTAGAGATTTTTAGCTCCCGAGAACAATATGCATTCTTCTTGATGATTAAAGGTATAGCTTCATAAATAGTTGATTAAAGGTATAGCTTCACAAATAGTTGAAGAAGCTTGTGCGGGTGGGTGTACGTACGCCAAACTTTCAACCAGCCATTGATTGTTCCGTTTATCAACTGAAAAGTCTCTCTCCCCTTCCTGGAGCCCCACCCATGCATCTATTGCTTTTTGACCTTTTTTTTCCTATTGTTCTGTTCATTTCAGCTGTCCTCTTGACTGCTACTTTTAGCAAAAGATACAAAAAGTACGTACTTCCAGAAATGGTGTCTGCCAAAATAGGTGAGAAAATGAGAGAGTTACAAGAAGGGAGGCTTGCAGGAGAAATGAGAGAACAATGAAGCCATGGAGGGGAAATAAGAGTGTCACAAGGAGTAAGGCTTGCAGAGGAAGGAGACAGGGAAGGAGAGGGACTTTTAAGAATGAAAGTTAAGCTGAGAAAAAGGAGGGAGACAGACAGCTTAACAGAGATGAGTTGGAGTTGGAGAGACATAGACAGAGACAAAAGAGTCTCAAGAGTAAAAGAAGGATTAAAAAGTACAAAAAAATTTTAAGTTTGTTTAAATATATTTTTCATCTTTTTCTTTAGCAGATGAGTGGAAAAATTAACTTAGGATACTCTTGCAATTAACTAAAAGGGGTATTTACATAATTCTAACTAAGTTAAAAGGGTTGAGAAATTATTTCCGATACATATTATGCTCCATGCTAATTTAGACAAATATGGTTACCCACTAGACTTGTGTAGCAAACTTCATAATTTACCAGCTATTCAAACGAAAGAATAGTCCAAACAGTAAAGAAACATAAAAAAACTTTAGAAATAAAAAATCTCACCTCCAGAGTAGGAGCAGTGGAACAAAAAGAAAGGACCTTATTGCACCATTGCAGTTTTGCATATGCATTTTGAAGTTCTAGAATTACACGAAAATTGAAACCAAGGGATAAACCAGATCTCATAGTAGATTGCAGTCGGGTAAGCATACTTTCAATTTCTGAAATAAGACAAATGTTCGTAGCATCATTGACATTTCCTGTGTCCAATAAGTACTTGGCCTCTTGCAGAAGAGAACATGCATTTTGCTCCCACTCCTCACAATTCTTTAAAACCTTTTCTAGTATTTGTCGCTCTTCAAATGATATCCTCAGAAGCTTAGACTGAGAAACTAATTCCTGTGACATGTGAAATGTGCATCAGCTTGTGATCTACTAATGATTGACAAATAAACAAGTTGCACATATTTCCCCATTGATTTTGTGAAAATGTTTGAAGAGAAAGAAATCTGGGGACCTTTGAATGAGTAGACTATGCTTTTCAAAAAGTCCAAGATTTTTGGTTAAGGAGCATAGTTTGGGTAAAGGTCACAATCTGTCTACTTCATGTTTCGAAACATAACTACATTCACATTTAAACAAAACACGCTGCAAGTACAAACCTTCAATGCCTCAAATTCCAGCTGGACGGAAGAAGCAGGCATAATGGAAGAAGCAGAAATTATAAATGGCTTTGAATTCTTAAGCCAGGATTTTGCCACTGAAACTGCATCTTTGACAGCATCTAGAGAAGGTAGAAAAACACCAATGGTTTCCGACATCCTAAAAGAATCAACCTTGATGAATATAACAACCAAAGTGAAATAGAACCATAGAACTTAATAAGCTTAGCAAGACCAAGTAAACCAAACTTGAAATCTTAGAAACCTCATGAGATCCTCAAAGTCAAACATCTGAGCTTCACAAGCAAGAGCATTGCTTGCTCTTTCCTCCCAGTCAATAGCAGTCTTCAGCATTCCAGTAATATCAACAAATAATTTCTCCCCGTCAATCTGTAAGCTGGGATTAAAGATCCAACATGAACTCAAAAGAAAATGAGAATGAAGCAGAAAATATTTTTCACAACTCCAAGAGATATCAAGGACAGAAAGCATACATTACAGCCTCAGCAATCAGTTGCTGAATAAAGTCCAAAGACGTTTTCACACCACGTGCCTGTATCAAAATTGTGTACATGTTAAAGATGGAAGATGGTAGGCTTTTCTTTTTTTTTTTTTTGAGGAACAGTAGACCAAATATCTTTGAGTCAACAATGAAAGATGGTGTCAGCTGCACAGCAACAAAGGCTACAGGAAAAGAGAAAACAATGGGTGCACAGGAGGATGTGCTGAGGTCAGCTTTGGCACACGAAGACCCTCAGAGAGCAAGTGTGCACTAGGGCAAGAAGCGTGCTAGAGTGGCTTCAGGAAAACAAGGCAGTAAACTGTCATTTTTTTTTTCTCTTTTTCTTAATAGAAAGAACTAAAGCATAGTGAAGAACAAGAGAAATGTAGAAAAGAGCTAATAGCTCTAATGTAATGTGAAATTCAGAAAGAAATTGAATTCTTGTATATTGGAAAAGAGTATATACATGAGTATATAGCTGTTACCCAAAAAAAGAAGTATGAAACTGATTAATGCAAATCAAATAAAATCTCCATATTAATTAGATTCTTTGACCAATATCCCATATTTTTAGGACAACTAGTTTCCTAATACTAATACATAAGATTAAGGGTTTTTCCAACACTGCTCTCTCTATCCCCTCTATCAATTTTCTTTTCTTTTCTCTTTTCTTTTACAAAACTCTTAAAAAATGGAATCCATCTAAAAACAAATTAAGACCAGAATCACTTCAGCAGAAAGGGGAAGAAAATTTCTTTTTTTTTATAAATAAAAATTTTGAAATTCTATTAACATAGTACCAAACAATTGGGGGTACCGCCCCTATACAAAAACTTTACAATGTAATTAGCGAATTAATGACATGCTCAAAATCCACATCACTAATTATGCCATACCCTAATAATAAAAATCCAAAATAATGCAACCACCGATCTCTCAAACTATACAAATCATTAGTTTTATCTCAAAAGCTTTAGAATTTCTCTCCTTCCATAGAATCCAAAACAAGGATAAAGGAATTAGATTTTTCAACTTCCTCTCTACATGCATCCCTTTCCAAGCCCACAATTCCTCCCTAATAGATCCAGCCACCAGGTAACACCAATCATACTAAAAATAGCATTTCACAACCCAGAAGCCACAGGACACCACAGCAGAACATGCACACAGCTTTCCTCATTAGCCATACACAAATAGCACCGGTTGGGAATGGCCAACCCCCTAGTTATAAGTTTATCAATTGTCAAGATGTATTCTCTACTTGCTTCCCATGCAAAAAAAGCAACTCTAGGGGAAACTTTCGCCTTCCAGATCTGCCTAGAGGGAAAATCAAAACTCATCACATTGTTTTTGTCTGTTAAGTGCTTGTAATAAGATTTGAAAGAGAAAACACCACTTTTATCCAACTTCCACAATACCTTCTCCTCCCCAGCAGATATTTGTTGAGCAGCCAATAAAAGTAGCAAATTTTCAAACTCGCTGAGTTCCCAATTCTGCAAATTTCTCGAGACATTGATCAGCCATTGAACACAACCATTATTAATCTTGTAAGCATCCTTAATCAGCATATTTTTTGTCTGAGAAGTGAAAAAAAATTTGCGAAACCTCCTTATTAAACACATATTATCTATCTAAATATCCTTCCAAAATCTGATTTTATTGCCCCTGCCAGTCTTCCACAGCAGATTTTCCAAAAAAAAATAGGCCATTGCATCAAGATTTTCCTCCATAAACTCGTTTCGTTCCGTGGGCTCTTCTAAGCCTTGTGACCCCACTGTTGTCCCACACAAGGTCACCCCAACGGATCCAAACAATGTCTCCATAATCTGTCCTGAAATAATTAATGCCACAACCATTTCCCTTGCAATGCCACATTTAAATCAACAATAGACCTAATTCCCAAACCTCCACACTTAATCGGTTTTTTTATTTCCTCCCATTGAAATATATGAAATTTATGATTCTCATCGTCATCATCCGAAAGAAATCTGCATTGTATATTTTCCAGCTTTTTAGCAATATGCACCCGGAAATTGTAGACAAATAATAGATTGGTAAGTTAGCCATGGTGCTTTTTATTAACGTAAGTCTTCTCCCCTTTGGAAAGAAATTTCCTCTTCCAACCAGACAACCTATTCTCACTCATTTCCAAAACAGGGTCCCACGAAGCACTGCTTTTATAGTTAGCTACCAACAGCAAGCCAA